TGGGTTCATGGGTTCATGGGTTCATGGGTTCATGGGTTTGGGGTTTGTTTGTTTTTGTGTCGGAGGTTTTGGGTTCGGGTGTTGGAGGTTTTGGGTTTGGGTGTTGGAGGTTGAGGTTTCCGAAGGGATGTGTTTGCAAAGTTTTATTGCTCTTAATATTTAAGTACTCTCTTCGTTATTTTTTTCATTCGTTCCCACCTTATCTTTTACCTCATCTTCCTGACGATAGATACATAGTCAACATGAACATCTACAACGACGCACAGTCAATAATATCCTGCGTTCCTTCGCGGCTTCTAATCTCGGGATGATTTTGATCTTGATTTTCGCAGAAGCACTTGGTCTCTACGGGCTCATTATCGGATTGGTGGTCGCGTCCGGTGCAGGCAATGCCACGGGCTTATGCACTCCGTACAGCGGTTAAAAACGCCAAGAAGAAGAGGTCATAAGGTTCGAGAAGAACAGAAGCATGTTCATTGTACCGCACTCATGGCAGCTATGGACAAGACGGTGGAAGATCATCGATGCTATGATTCGCATTACAATTTGAAAATCAGGATACGAACAGAGTGACGTTTCTTTAGAAGCACTTTTTTCATGGATACGTAAAAACCGTTTTTACCATGTCCATGTGAGAGGGACTTCTCAAACAAAGTACGATAGTTTATTAAGCACTGTTGACTATCTACCTCCACGAGTACGGCCACAAGATATTACAGTTCATATGCAGATCCCTTTCTGCCCATGGTATTCTTGAATCCCCGTATATGAGGATGACTTTACGCGTCTATAGATGTCCACAACCACTACTTTTTACCGTATTGGACAGGCTAGAGCAGGAGAATATTCAGCAGAAAGAAGGACGAAGAGTCTTGGTTTTGAAAATGTTGTCGGTGGGAAAGAGACTTCTCGGATGCTAATATCTTCAAAGAAGCAATCACTGAATGATCTAAAATTAAGGGTTTCCGAATTGCATTCTTCACTTGCATCCTTGACCTTTTCTCAAGTGGAAAATGGGGCAAGGATGTTCTGAAGAATGTAATGCTGCAGCCTCTATTAAAAGCGTCGTCTCTGTGTGGTCGAGAAGAGGAATCGGTTTGTGAGCACAGACAAAGTTACTCGGAAAAACGAAAATGATAAATGATCGAACGCCTGACCTCGAAACAGTAATCCTGTAACGTCAGCCCTCAACCACCCTCAACGCTTTAACCATTGATTACCCAGCCCAATGCCATGATTCAATAAATCTTGATCAACCGGTGAGGAGATTCTGGCTAGCTTTCTTATAAATATGTACATTGGATTGTTGGTCAGATAGTTTAGCTATGTCATTTTTTTCCACGATCACGACCTATGGACTCCACAGAAGTATGCTGTACGTAAAAAATCCTCTTCCAAATTCAAATCTTACGCTTGCTGTATGCAAAAGATTCAATTGAAAATTAAGAAATTGTTCTATTAGGAGCTTTTCGGGAGAAGGAGAGAATCTCGATTCTTTCAAGAAATTTTTGAGGGCGGAACTCAATCACTGTTGACCGGCACAACTACAAAAGTTCAAAAAGTTTATTCGCGACGAGAAACATGCAGGAACAATAGTACTCTTGACGAGGCGGAAGGAACAACAAATGAACGAAGAGGGAGGGCGACAACGAAATGAAGAACAACATAAACTTCTTCTTCATTGTTCCTTATTTCGTATCCACACAGAGGAAGGGAGAAGAACTGTCTCAGACAGGGCACCAGGTAGAGGCGGAGCACCTTTTTGGAAGCAGGCTTGAAGAAATACAACAGAACAACACCTTCATCGGGAGGAGTCCAGCAGATTGACCCTCTTACCTGATGTCGGCAACGTGTTGCGTACTAAAGGCGTTCCCCGGAATGATATGGACCACATAAATATGATTCTTCTAAATTATAGATTATAGCTTCGGCAGACTTAATAATTTTATATTTCATCCTAGTAGTTCAGTACATCGAGTAAGAGTACTGTAGATCATACTAATTGTAGAACTGCTACCAGTGACGATTCAGTACAAAGAGAATAAGAATCCATCCATGCTGAGTCTTCTAATCTCTGGGACGCTGCGGTTTTTCGGATTGCTTCTCACCTTAGCGATGTGGGATGTTGTGTTATGGCTCGGGATGAGTAAATGAGTTCAAATTTGTAATTTTTTCAGAACAAGCATCCATGTACATGGGTCGGATCTGTGGTCGACTCAGTAGATTACACTGCCGAGTAGATCTAAAGCATGATGATGAAAACAGAATACTCTACTTTTCGGGACGAGTGGCCTCTCACTATGCTCGTCTTTTGTACTTCGAAGGACCGTTATTAAGGAGCTGGACAGTCTCCGCTCGTTCTTATCCTAATGGAGAAAATTCCAACATTTTCTCTCGCTTCTAATGACAGGAAAAATAGTGACGGAGCAAGCTGCCGCACAAGCAGCTGCAAGCATTGACCCGCCTGCTGGACAAGTTAAGACGGTTCTCCAGAATTATCGAGATGAATTCGTTTCAAAATTAAAATGATCATGATTATGTTTGGAGGAGGAGCAGAGCACAGGAGAACAAGGATGGACCTACTTACAACTACAACCGGAGAAAGCAGTCCTACTAAGCATCCACTTCCACTTCTATAAAGGCCCATAATTGAGCTTTTCACTCGTTGCCGTTTCTTTTTCATCCACTGCTGGAATTATAAATGTCTATCGTATATGTTTTAGGGCCGCACGGTCCCCCCCCCCTGTGGTATGGTCCGTGGTGGCGCTCGCGCGCTCTTTTCCGCGCTGATGTGTGCGGATTCTAGTGGTGGAAGGCGTCAAAACTGGGCGCGGGCGTCCCCTTGCGCCTCTCTGCATGTTCCTCAGGGTCCTCCTGGCCTCTGCTGACCCTCGCAGGCTGGAGGCCTCCGGGGTGAAAAGCCGCTGAAGGCGGCCACGGTCTACAGGCAGGCCGCTGGAAGTGGGCGGAGGCGGTCCCTTGGGCCCCTTTCGAAGCCTTCCACCTACGTCGGAGGCCTGTAGGGTGGTCCAGCCAGGTAGCTGGAAGGCAGCGGAGAAGGTCCCCTGGGTCCCTTTTGAGGCCTTCCACCCCTGCCAGACGCCTGCAAAAGGAGTCTGGGGCTGCACGGTGCCCCCCCTGCGCTAGGGAGGGCGTACCGTAGCCCTGAGCCCTGGACCATATATGCTTGCTTCATCATCTTACTTTCTGCTCTAAGATTAGTGGTGCAGGGACGCCTGAGCGAGGCTGTCAGTGTCTGTTATGGACATCAAGGACCATTGTTGCATAACCAGGTAGCTTTCTCTTGTTTGAATACTCCCTTCATGTTGACATTATTTGACGACGATTGTTTTAATTTAGGATCTTGAAATATCACAGTCAAAAGGAGCACTGTAGATCACATGGACACGATGCATGGAGGATTCTACATGCATGGAGAATTCTACGATATGATGAGTACGGAATACCACAGCGATGGAGGTGTCTAGATGGTATGGAATTGATGGACTGCCCATAAGAACAGGAATACTTCGACTTAAATCTTCTAAATCTCAACTGCAATACCGCCGTCCAGACGACGCCACCAGGCGAGGGAGACGGGACATCAAGCAAGATGACAGGCAACACAGCCGAGACGAGCAAGACAGGCTACGCAGACGAGGCAGACGACGCCTTAACGGAGGAGGATAAGGCTTTGCTGAAGGAGGCAGACAGGTTGTTGGATGAAGAATCGCAAGAAGCAACTCGTAAATTGGCTACCCTCAACGAGAAGGTACTAAAGAGCGCAGAAGCGGCGGCTGATGAATTAAGGCTCCGAGTAATTCAACTTCGCAGATGATTATCTATTTTCGTCGTGTCTGTCACTCGTTTCAGATTCAGAATTATTATAAATATCACTTCACGAGCCTCTAATATTCTACACTGATTATTCTCGTCTTGTCTTTGCTGGATATTACGGAGTGTCAGAGAATACTATAATGGCCTCAACTAAGTAAAGATAAACTATTGCGAGCTCTAAAAGAGTGTACACAGGATTCGCCGGCGTGTACCGAGGTTGCTGCACGACGCAAACAGCTGGCTACGAAACTCGCACGTCTGAACAAGAAAGAGCGCCTGGTCTTTCCGCGTGCCCTCGAGAGATATGCGATGGAGGCTCTGGTCAAGACATTCGAAGAGGACGTGGCCAAATATGATTAAGGCTTGCAGCAGCAAAATGTTAATGTAATTAATGCCAGACAACTCGAGCGCTCCGTAGCACTCGATTCTGAACACTTCCACGGGAGTGGAGGATTTAATTTCCAGACTCGATAGCTCCACTGGAAATAGAATCCTCCACTCCCTACACGCACTCTCTCCATTCCGGTGTGTTTCCGCTTCCCCGGCTCCTTCCCGCCAGACAACCGTCTGGCGGAGTTGATCGGAGGGACAGGAGTCGGGGCGAGGGCGGCGTGCTGACATTAAAAGGACACAGCTCGAAATCGTTGGTCCGCAAATTTCCTGCTCTTCTGTTAAGTTTGGCCTTCTTTGAGCGAAAGTTGAAGCTTTCGAATTTGAAACTTTTGAGAGTCATTCTCTTTTCATAAGATTATAGATTTTGGATTTGAAATTTTTTGAAGTTTATTCTTCTTCGATGAAATCAAAAGCTTTGGACTCGAAATTCAAAATTTTGAAACTTTGAAATTCCAGATGGGCGCGATTAGAAGCAAAACGCGCGCCGCCGGTGACCTCGGGTGGCATGATGATCTTTGGCGGCGTATCTTCCATGAGATTCTTGAAAGTTCGTTCTTCATTGATAAAATCAAAAATTTTGAATTTTCTCGCGTAAGATTATATTTAAATCTTGTAGTTGCTTAAATATTTACCATGCCATGGCTCCTGAGTTCTTGAGATCCCGAGGTCATAGGTTCCTAAGGTCCTAAGTTCGTGGGTTCGTTGGTTCCTGGGTTCCCGGGTTCGTGTTTTTGTAATTGACCTAACATTATCATGACCCATGCTCATCTTGTACTTGTTGTAGATTCATACTTAAGTAAATCCTTGTACCATATCAACTTCAACATTTTTCGGTCCTGCTATAATTAGCTTGCGCTTGACTTTTTCATCAAGCGGGAAAACAAAGGAAAGCCATAATACATACATCATTGATAGTGAAGATCACATGCATGTGAAATGGAAGATAGGCCAAGTAGCTGAAACTTCTAAAAAGGTGCTGCTAGGGATGCAGAGCCTAGGGAAGGTGTGTCTAATTCAGGCAAGACTGTGCGAAAATGGTCAAAGAGGGAGAAGATCATCAGGGACCATTATACTAATGCGATGTATGAAACGGGAATCCACTCACTCATAGTACTCAAAAAATAGTTGCTTGGGCACGAACACGATTCTTGTTCTTATCTACGCAAGCACGAACACGGGTCTCAGTCAAAACACACGTACTTGTGACTCATGGTTACTTAGAATTCCTCAAGTGATCATGTGACAACATATATTTTTTTCGAGGTAGTGTGTGCCTGCGAAGATGGCCCTAACGACGTTTCTTGATATCGTCAGTTTTTGAGTCTACGAAGATGAGTAAAGTTTTTCCCGTCATACCATCAACACGTTTATTCCCGATGTGACCGGACTCGACGTGGACCGGGAGCCAGCACAAGCGATCAATTACGAAGGGGAACTACTCTGAAGGAATCAATCTTAAAAATCTAAAACTTCACAACCCAGATCCTATTTAGCATCACGTCTCGGGAGGAATTCAGAATTATTCTTTCAGGTGGTAACACCACCTTCTAGTATTCGGATATATTGGTCCTCCAATATAGCTCCGTGGGTTATTCTATCTATAATTCTTCTAGTTACAGTTCCCTATTTGGCTACTTCTTCTTCTAGTTCCTTATCTTTCTAGTCAGCGAGGTCCTTATTTTCATCGAGAGCGTCTAAGTCAAGGATATGATCAAGGTTACCACTGACCACCGCGAGCGCGTCGACAGGGCATGGGCGAAGTTCCGGGAGAAAAAGTCTTAAGAAATGGATTGTAAATTTACTCCACGAGTTCGCCTCTTCCAAGAAGAAAACAAGAAGTTCACTTTCAACAAGAAAGTTTTGAATCATCAAGAATGCCAATGTTAGAACCTCGTCTAAATTGGAAACTGGGAGAAAGAGCTGGAAAAGCAAGAAAACGGTGAGGCGGCTGCAGCTGCGCCAGGCGGTGGTGCCTCTTTTGTCGATGTGCATAAGCACAACTCGGGTTTTGTCGTCGTGTAACTGAGCAGAGACGCATCGTTTCGAGTGGCGGAGCGGAACAGTGTGGGAAAGATTTCTCCGTAACCACACAGTTTCGAGTAGCGGAGCGGAACGGTGTGGGAAGGGTTTCTCCGTGCAATTGCATCGTTTCGAGTTGCGGAGCGGAACAGTGTGGGAAAGATTTCTCCGTAACCACACAGTTTCGAGTAGCGGAGCGGAACGGTGTGGGAAGGGTTTCTCCGTGCAATTGCATCGTTTCGAGTTGCGGAGCGGAACAGTGTGGGAAAGA